AAGGGGGTTACCTCCTGGTGGGGGAAGGAAGAAAGCTGGGGGGAGGGAGGTAGGTGGGGAGAGGGAGGGGCAGGTCCTGATGCCCCCAGCTTGGATGTTGTAATAGTTTCCTGAGGCTGGAGTAGCAAATTATCTCAAACCCAGCGGCTTACAGCAACAGGAATGTATTCTCACGGGTCTGGAGGCCAGAAGTCTGAATTTGGTTTCAAGGTGTCTGCAGGGTGGGCTCCCTCCAGAGGCTCTAGGGGAGAGTCCCCCCTGCTTCTTCCAGCTCCTGGGGGCCGTGGGGTTCCTTGGCTTGTGGCTGCCTCCGCCACTCGCTGCCTCTGTGGTCTCATACCTCCTGTCTGTGTGCTTCTGTCCGGAGACAGAGCAGATGGGGGCTTCTCCCGCCCCTCCGCACATGGCCCTATTTCTCCCTGTACTTAGCAGCTCTTTCCCCTTCAGGGTTACCCTTTATGATCGCACTTGGAGAGGAGGGGGTCTGGGCGAGAGGGAGTGGGCAGGACTGCACGCTGTCTCCTCCTTTTGCGGTTGGAGTTGGCCTTTGTGCTTCTGTGTGGGGTGTTGGGAGGATGATGCTTTAGGTGGAGAAAGACCTCCCTCTATGGACGACCTCCCTCTCCCCCTTTGGGGTCAGGCTGCCTGGGCTGAGGGAGGAGAGAGCGGCATGGCCCCAGATGTGGCTGGGCTCTCGTCAGCACATGGATGCCCTGTCCAGGCTGCACTCAGAGACTCACCGTCTGGGGAACGGGGTTACTTGGAGGTGATGTGAGGCAGGTTCCCTGGAAGCGAAGGTTTGTGGGCAGCGAGTGACCAGGGAGGCTCTCAGGAAGTGAGAGGGGCGGGGCTGGGCAGGGGGAGAAGCTGAATACCACGTAGTTATAACCGAGGCCTCAGCCGGTCCTTCGAGGAGCTCTGAAAGCTGCGCTGGCCCCACGGGGCAGGGGGGCCCACACCGACCAGTCGGTCATTGGATGTAGGCTGCCTCTGGGCAAGGAGACGGGGCGGCTCCCTTGGGCTGAGGGCAATGCCTGCAGAGTGACTCGGCTGTGAGTCCCCACCAGCCAACACCCTCAGCTCCCAGTGGGTGAGTCCTGCTATGACACCCAACCCCTGGTCTACATGGGGGACGTATACCGCACCCAACACCCCCCGCAGAGCCAGCTACTTGACAGCATCGCCTCCCTACCTTCCACCCCCATGAGCAACCACGCTGCTCCAACCCACAGCCGTGCAGGGGGAGGGCGGCCCCTGCTTATCCCCGGGACTGTCGCCATGACAGGACTTGACAGGCCACATAAGCCCCTCGCCTGGGCCTGCGCGGTTCCGCAGGGCGAGGAGGAAACCAGAGCTGGCGGTGGCGCTGGGGGTTAAGGAGTTGCCCCGAGTCACCAGCTAGCATTGCGGAGTCAGGATTCACACGCTGCCCGCCCGCCCCCATCCCGCCTCTGCTGTTCTGCCTGCACCATCTCAGGCTGCCCAGGTGAATTCCACCCTTGTGTTTTCCTTCAGGAGCTGGGCTCCCTGAATCCTGAGGTTCCTTTCAGCTCTAAAGTTCTTTGTGTGTCTCTCTGGATTGGACTAGAGAGACGGTTGATAATAAGTCTCACTAAATATTCGATGGATGGATGGATGCAAATTAGGTAATTTATCTAGGGATTGGGACACCCCCATGTTCACAACCCCGAATGCTTCATTTGTAAGACCAAATCTGCATGTAAGTAGAGAAACTCCAACCCTCTCCTCCTCCAATAGCTAAATAAAACACACAGCCACCTGCACACGCACACACCTGCCTTAGCGTGAGGGAGCTCCAGTGTTAGTTGCCCAGACTTTCTGTTTTCCTGGAACAATTTGACCTTCTGAACCAAGGAGTACGTCAGCACCAGGAAAACGCTCTGGGCTGTGCTCGAGCCAGCTGCCTGGACCGTAAACACAATTTCCAGTTTATCAACAAGTACATTCCTAACGCCTCTTTTTCTTGGGTTTCCAGTGTTTCAGTGGTGCTAGGTTTTCCAGCTGGTCCGGAAACATCTCTGTCACCTGGAGCGTAGCCCAGTACTGGCAACTGACAGAGGCAGACCAAGTTCTAACCCCGGGGGGGAGGGTGTTATCCTGGGGAAGGCGGGTAGTTGCCTCTTCTTTCCAGGAAAACTTTGAAGTGGCAGCCGCTTGTCCTTGTAGCTCATTAAGTGTTTCCCATCCCTGGGCCACTTTGTAACTCTGCTTTGTAACTCTGCCTGGCTTTGTAACTCTGGGCAAGACACTTGCCTTCTCCAAGCCTCAGTTTCCACATATGTAAAATAGGCACAGGACCAGTGCCTGCTCCTCGAGGCCATCGTAAGGATAAGGGAACACATGTGGAGTGCTTAGCCCAGCGGGGCTCAATTGTAGGAGCTGTTATTGTTATTCCTTTTGTGTCTGTGTTTGCCCCTGGAGTGGCCGCACTTTGAGAGTAGGAGTGGGAGAATCAGGCCAAACACACACAGTACTTTAAGCGTAAGCTCAAAACTCATTCTTTCTCTCCTCCCCTCCACCCAGCTATAACCCCATTCTTTTGGAGGTGGGGGATCGATCTGAGCACAGCTTGGGGTTAGAAAGAGAGCAAGTTGCCTGCACACATGGACACGGAGGGGTGGGGAAGTGCAGGAGTCAACTTTTCTTCTGGGGCTTCTTGTAACCCAGGGGCATTTGGGATTGAGGGCACTCCAGGAGCCCAGCGCAGCAGGGAGGGGAGGCGGAGGGATTTTATCCTCTCTTTCTTTTATTTCCAAACGTACACTTCCATAGGTGGCTGTGGTTCGCTGTCTCCCACCCTTTTCAGTGTTCTCTAGGCAGGGGTAGGACTGCGGGGTTAGTGGAGGGGAGGGGGACGGGAAGTTAGTTGGTGAGCTGGGTGGGGGGCAGGTAGGTACCTCTGATACCGAGGGCATGGGCTTGTTTCACTTTATTTTGCAAACACAGGCAGCGCAGAGTAAGTGCAAGACAAGTGTTCCCACCCTCGGGGTACAAAGGAATGCTCTCATTTACCCCGAAGAAGTGGGAGGTGAAGACAGGATTTTCAAACGGGGAACCTGATACAGAGGCGGAGTAGAGGAGGGAGCTGGGCACTTTGTCTCCCGGAGACAGAGGGGGAGGGCCTGGGGGTGGGGCATTGGGGAGGTGCTGGGAGAGAATCCAGAGAGGCCTCATTTGTCTCCCAGGTGCCTTTGGAGGCTCCAGCTGCACACTTGCTACTCACTTTGTCTCCTGGGTGCCTTGAAGTTCTTACTAACCAGTGTCCTGGGAGCAGCTTAAGAAATTGGTTACCAAGTTTTCAGTGCTGGGCCGAGGCCCCCCAGACACTCAGACCTCCCAAGGCACACGCTCCTTCTAGGTCCGAACTCCTGTTTCAGGTTGTTTACCTGAGAAGAGGGGCTGGGCTTTGTCTCAGCCAATCAGGCTGTGTTGGCGCACGAGCGGGGCGCCCCCCTTGGCTGGGACGCACAAAGACATCTCCTGGGAGGTGATTGATGCGGTCTCTGGAACTGTCCACAGTCTGCTTAGTCCCGCTGGGTCCGTGGGTTCAGAAGTCGGGGCTGGTAAATGGGCATCGCTTACAAGGGTTTGCCATTGTGGCTCCAAGAGCCGTATTCAGTGGCAAAGTGTTCCGTAGGGGAGACGGCACTGGCTGGAAAGCTTTCCTTGAGCCGCCAGAATCTATTCGCCCACTCCTCTGGAACTTTCTGTCTTTCTAAGGTGGCAGCAAGGAGTCAGCTCATTCTGAGAGCCAGGTCATATTACTTATACCCAGGGGATGAATGTTTCCTTGTTATGCCAACAAAACCCGGAGCCTCTCTGCTGGGACGAATAATGGCTTTGATGGCACACAGATTTGTGGGGGTTTCTTCCCCAGCTTTTCAGAGGGCAGGACTGCTGGAGTCTGGGGCTCAGGGTACAGACCTAGTAACAGAAAGCGCCCAGCTATAGGTGCTCAAGTAATCGGCGTTAATTTGCAGGTAACTCTACTGCACAATGAATGTTTGAGAAAGATCCTTAGGTCACTTAAAAAAAAAATTTTTAATTCTGTCAGTCTGCGGAATGTCAGCAAGGGCTGAACCTTACACAGGGATCCTGTTTATGTCCTGTAGTCCTGTCTGCAACGTGAAGCCCACGGCTCCAGGAGGCTGGATGTAGGCTGCAGCTCGTCCATGCGATGCTCTTTCTAATTAGAAAAAAGGCACCCCTTTCTCAAGGCACTTTACCATCACCTGCTGGGAAATTGCCATAGTAAACATTATAAATGTACCTAGAATGTAGTACACACGTATGCTGTCTATCATGGGAACTGTAGCCTTGGGTGTGTTGCCACTGCACTGTGTGACTTGCAGAGCTATACTTGATGGCCATGAACCTGGCCTCGCTTCCACTGGGAGGTGTCGTCGCTGCAACCCTGCTCCTCCTTAGGATAAGCTCCTCCAGAGTGGAGGGCCGTCTCCTGCTTCTGCTGCTCACGTCTGAACATGAGGCCACCCCTGTTACCGAACTCAGGTC